TCTGAGTTGTAAGTTATTTTTCCATTTCGTATATTTAAAAAAAAAACTATTGCATGATTAGAAAATAAATCATAATCGAAATTTAAACTAATCTCAACTTTGGAAAAATCTGGAAGGAGAATATTCCAGATTAAAAATATTGAAAAACATTTTATAATCGAGAAAATCCAAGTGAGATATTTTTTCCATTTTAAACAACGGAAAATTTTCAGCATCATTTGCAGAGAAAGTTGGAACATAATATTACTGCGCCTATTGTGGTAATAATTAATTTTTTTTTTCGAATTTGTGAGAATTACAAACTCGAGCATATCAACTAGGATAAATATAATAAGAGTGGCAAGGCATTTCTTATGTCTTGAAATGTAAAGTGACTGCTGAGGAATTTCACTCTTATTCTTAATACTACAAAGACTAACCTTAGTATATAAGACCAATGAAGTCCAATTTCTTATTGCTGAGTGTGGAAGATTGAGGTATTGTTGCTTGATACAGGTTACCCTTCCAGTATCTACACATTACACTGCTACATTTATAATTGAAATCGTTCATTACAACTCTACTGCAGCCTTCCACCTTCATTTTATAATTACCATTATTATTTTTTTGAATTTTGTATATTTTGTCATGTTTTTTTTCGGGAGTCAAACAGAGGGGTAGACGCGCGCACGCGACTGCAAGGTGGCGCGCGCGCGCAGGCTGGGCTCATTCTAACATCACCTACGGTGCACTGGACCACTTCTGCAAATTCCCTTCATTTCATGATTTAAGAGAGCAAAATGCATACAACTCTAATATCAACCTAAGATTATTAAAACGCCAGTAAACGTAGGCGAATCCTTACAGCTAGCTGAGGATGGGTTTCTTCTTACACGCTATTGTATCTTATATTATGTACAACACTAAGAACAATGAAACTTAACTAAATAACACCAAATATAACTATGCTTTAATTCTGCGGCAACTGAGCAGCTCAGTATATGCCATAGTATATATGACACCTTTTAGCGAAAAATTCATGATTTTATTAACAATAATTACATAATATAAGTGAACGATGCAGTGGTTATATTAATGTTACGAAGGCTAAATTAAATTAAATTTGTGAAAGACGTCAGTCAGTATGGGAGTTTGGCAGGTCGGGGGCGCCTCCCCCCGTCTCTCCAAGTGGGAGGTGCTGGGAGTTTGGCAGGTGGGGGCGCCTCCCCCCTCTCTCCAAGTGGGAGGTGCTGGGAGTTTGGCAGGTGGGGGCGCCTCCCCCCCTCTCTCCAAGTGGGAGGTGCTGCCACCTCCAAGATGTTATTTTACCTTTTAATTAAATGCTCTAAAAATATAATTTGCCATTGCCATTGTCTGATTATTTTTAATCCTCTGCATTTATGTTGTACTGCTGAAATATTAGTGAAATATTACAGTTCAATACTACATATTAATGGTGGTCTCTTACCTAGCCTAGTTAACATAACTAACAAAAAAGGCACAATACCGTGACTGGAACGATACACAAATAACCCGCACATAGAAGAGAGGAGCTTACGACGACGTTTCGGTCCGACTTGGACCATTTACAAAGTGCAAGTCGGACCGAAACGTCGTCGTAAGCTCCTCTCTTCTATGTGCGGGTTATTTGTGTATCTAGCCTAGATCTCTGCTGTACATTTAAGATAAAATATTCACTTAAACGATGCAAATGAACTATTTTTTTAATATTTTTTAAATGTATTTCAATCAGATTCGTTTATTTTCACTAATTCAGGAGAGGAGTGTTGGATGTGAACACTGCACCCCGTCAGCTTAGGGAGTCATCCACCATGGCTGCTTCTAAGACGCAGGCTTCCTGTCTTCAAGGACACTGTCAGATACTCTCTCGGGTTATACTTCTCTGCCAATATAAATCGAGCAAGAAATGTTTACCAAGGTGTGAGTTGTAGCTCCTAGCCAAGGTTAGCGTCTCTGCCTGTTTGTGTCAACGTATTTGTCTATCTGCACGTCCTATGTTTATACAAGTTTGTCTGTTTGTGTCTGTATCTTCCTTAATGATTATATCTCTTTATTGTCTCTCTGTCTCTCTTATTGTCTACTAAAGGAATGTTTGCAACTCATATAGAACTTGCAGCACTTATTTGAAAGTGGTGAAATTCATTAAGTTTAACTGTAAAACTAAGCTTCATGTTCATAATACATAATTGTCTCTTTAAATTTGTTGATATAAATCAGGGGATCGAGTTTTTTCAAAGTAATCGCTATACGATCCACTACAGCCCGTTTTCCTCAACTGCCAATCATGAAGTGTGGGTTATAGTAGGCTTTGATCCTTTGACTCAGTTTACACTTTGAGAGTGACTATATGTGACTATATTAATTATGCTCTTAAAATTATTAAAATTTGTTATTTCAAGTAAAATTACTGGCAAACAGAACAATAATATACATAAATGTTGCAAACAGTAATGGAACTTCTGGTATACTATGATAGCGATAGTGTCGTGCGTTCATTACTAAGTGTTAAGTATGAAAAAGAAAACATTTATTTAGTTCAGGGCATTCATTAAAATAAAAGCTTCGCCAAGAGTGTCTTCAGTCCAAATGATGAAGCCATTCATGGTGTAACATTTCCATTTACAATTGTTCTGAACTATGGACGTGTACCCTCTTCCACAGCTTGCTGGTATCACCATACCATTTAAAACCAAAGTGATTATGTGCTGTCATGAAAAGTCTAGCGAGAGTCTGGTCATCTTGTATTCAACCAGAGATTACTCTGCAGTCTACCGGTAGATTCCTAGCGAGGTTTTGACCGCCCGTCATTGATGTTCACTTTTGAAAGGAGAGTATTAAGGTATGTACACATTTTCTGGGAGTTATTTTTCCTAGGAAATGGAAGGTAATCACGCAGTCTTAAGGATGCGTGGGGATATTGTGGCTCTGGATGTGAGAAGTACAGTGCCTGATCTCTGAAGGATGGGTGAGAAGTTTTGTGCCTATACGGTAATTTTAGGATGGATAAAACTGTTGTGGTTATGTACGTCAGAAACATAGTGCTTGCACAGTGAAAGATGGGTGGGGTGAAAGATGGGTGGGGATGTAGTGATTTAGGAGGTGAGAAGTAAAGAGCCTTCTCTCTGATGGATGTGTGGGGATGTTTCAGTTCATGGAATTAAATATACTGTGCCTGTTCCCTGACGGATGAGATGGAATATTACAGCTCTTGTAGTGGGAAATACACTGCTACTGCCTACTCTCTGAAGGACAGGTGTTGGAGGATAGCGAGGACTGTAACAATCGATATTTGCGTGCTCTTCACGAAAGACAGATTGGGAATTAGAGGTGGTAATGTGTTAGCATTGATTTTTGCTCTTAATAGACCATATTACAGATTCCTCTCACAGCTGTAGGGAGGAGTCGGTTGGGGCCCCTGAAGGAAATATGGACAAAGGTACTATTTCCAAATTTTCCGTATAAAAGCTCAGTAGCTCTGCGGTAAAGCGCTGGACCGGCAACCCGAAGACCACAGTTCAAGAGAGAGATAAAGACGTTTGATCCTAATTCCTGTACATTGTGAAGAGAAAGAAAGATACAGAACAAGTCGCAGGAATAGCTTTTATCTGCACGATCCGTGTAGAGCGTTATTAAATAAGGACTTTATGAAGCACTATTCAGAGCAAAACGTTGTCCAATAAAAGCTTGCCCTGCAACTTGTACTTTTGTTTCCATACTTTCGGATAAACGTTATTTCATTTACCCGGTATTGCCAACATGGTAGGCCACTTTCCAGCCTCAAGAACAAAGGAATATGAGCTCCAGGTCTAACAGTTGTCTCAGTGCACCCCGCACACGCTAGACTCTAGAGATACCATGCAATGTCATCAATGCTTGGGATACCTATACACTTAGAACCCACCATGTACTTAGGAACCAGTCTGTACCTAAGAGCCACCCTGAACAAAGAATATCATGTAAGAACACTCGGAGCATCGGGTAAAAAAGGAACTTCGTAGCAGAAGGTGTCACTCTGTTTAAGTGCTTAACAAGTTACTCTGAAATCACAAACACAAGACTCAGTCATCCGTCAACTCATTATTCACACTGTAAACTGTGACAGATTTTCGTCAAAAAGATTACCAGGAGTGATGTCCTTAGATAAACTGCGGGTGCTATGATGATAATATTCTTGGGGCGCTCTTACGAGATTACATACTGGCTGAAAAATGTAAGTCACCATAGAGTGGCTAGAACTTATAACTTTCTGACAAATAAAAGTCACAATACCGATACTGGAACAATTAACCTCTAACCCACAAGTAGAAGAAACTTTAAACAAAGGTTCAGTCTCTTTTAGTTCGAGTCCTGTTAAAGTTTCATATCAAAATTGTGGTTTAGTTGAGACTTGAACTGGCTGGTTTCAGCTCAAAACTCTATGTTTTACCAATAATATTAATTGACAGGAGATTCATTTACTAGTAGGTGATGCTGCCATCTGAGATGAGTGTGATGAAATTGATCCTCCACATACAGGAAGCGGATACTGAGGACACTTAACCATCGCACCAGAAGCTCTTGTTAGAAACCTATAAGATCCGTCGATCCTTGATTAAAAAATATACAGGAAACTTTATGTATATTATCTCTGATAATATGCTGGAAATTTTTACACGCACATAAATATATATATATATTATATATATATATATAATATATATATATATATATATATATATATATATATATATATTTATTATGCAATAAAATCACATTTAACAGGTGATAACACAATATGCAGAACAACCACTGTGAAACAATAGCGAAATTCCAAACGCTTTCGTGACTTCTCAAATTTTCCTTGATAATGTGAGAAGTCACGATAGCGTTTGGAATTTCGTTATTCTTTCACAGTGATTGTTCTGTGTATGTGTGTGTATATACATCATAATATATATATATATATATATATATATATATATATAATATATATATATATATAATATATATATATATGTGTGTGTTTGTGTTTGTATTCTTAATGGTACTCCTGTTCTGCTTGCTTTAGAAAATTGCTCTTGCTCTTAAATAGGTTTTCCCCATTAAGAATTGGTGCTTTATAGTTGACATGTACTGATCGACACAGGGTAGTAGATATGATTGCAACATTGTAAGAATTAAAGACTAGTCATATCCCCAACCAAAATCAGCAACTCATTCTTTAACCATTTAGCATTAAATGAATTAGTTGTTACACTTATCATAAATGAGCAAGTTAACCATTACCGGAGTAGAGGCGAATTAATATGTCCATATCAGAGATGAGCAAGATTCTTATTAACCTAGCAATGCTATGTGAATTAGGTATTATTCCTGGTAGAGACGAGTAGATTGGTCATGTTCCCCACAGTGTTAAGTAAATTAACTCTTATTCCCTGTATAAATGAGCGAGTTAGTCATTATCCGAGTAAAATGGCCATGCTGTCTCCCCAACGTATATGCTTCCAATGGCCACACTTCAGCTACCTCTTAGTGATGGATAAACTAAAACAAATGGTGCAGGCCCTAGTGGCAGTGTAGCTTTTCCCGAAACTCATCCCTCAGAAATTCTATGTGCCTTTTTCAGGAGCCGTTGGTACCCTTGCTGCAGTTACCGTCCGTAGAGTTGATATTATTCTTCACATTTTCGTTGGATTCTCCTTTTTCTGCCTTCTCGTAACCTTCTACAACTGTTTCAAGGAGAAACTTGATAGTGATTCTGTAAATGTTGTCCATGTTGTCAGTGTAGCGGTCATCCAGCGTCAACCGCACAGCTTCCAGGAAGGGAACCTCGATCTTCTGCAATTGTGAATGGTTACAATTAGGTGAAAATAACTCTTCCAGGTAAGAAAAATTAATTTCTGACAGATAAATTGAATTAATTTTTACACAATAAATTCTAAGGACAAGTGTTTTAGTACGTATTTTGGAAAGATAGATACCCATAAAAAGTTCAGGTTTTTTTCTTAAAATTTCTGTGCAAGATTTCTATGCAAATGCTTAACATTACCTATTCGAACTGATCTAAAATTTGTAATGTGTGGGTATCATACTGAGATGAAAGTTTATTTTTAACTGAAAGTGTAGTTTCCTGTCCGCAATGCTTTCAGCCTTGTTAGGAGCCAACATTTAGAGAAGTCCTTCCAAAATAAACTGGACAGAAAAATTTGTAGAATTTGTTTCTAACCAATAGTAAAACTCATCTTCAACTTCAAATAAGAAATCAGTTAATTCTAACTCTTTCCCAATGGGATTGAAATGAGAGAAGCTGAGTAGGTTCAGCCTTAGAAGCAAGTGGATCCCAGTCGCTCTTAACTTAGAATGATTTTTTTGGATTTTCAAATTTAAAAAAAAATAAAAATTATGACAAAAATAAAAAATAAAAAGAGTGAAAAATCTTAGAATGGACCAATCTGAACCATACTAGATGCCTGAATGTTAAAAGGTTTTAAAGGCATTGTGTGTAACTTTCTGGAACAATAACTAACCGAATGGACAACACCAAATTCACTTCACCTATTCTCTGATACAGCATGAGCTCCTAGGTCAGTGTTTTTCAACTTTTTTTTTAGAAGTGCGAAGTGACGCACCCCATTGAGAACCTTGTCAAACATCCAATATGCAGGTATCAGAACACACAAAACAACATACCCACTCTAGAGCGGAATGGAATTTAAAAGAATCGCGCAGTGTTTAATACACAATGATTTAACATTTTGAATTGTATTAATACTTACTGTAAAATTAAATAGATTTTATCAATTTAGAATTAATCATGCCTGATAAATAAACCTAGTTGGGTGAATCTTATTGTAGCCAGTTGGTCTGGAGTTTTATGACTCACTCGCCATGGTTTCGATCCCCACTCGTTCCGTGGTTTAAAATAAAAACAAAACATTCAATCTTCATTCTTCCATTAAATTTTTTTAATGTTGTGTTCCATGTATCAGCTTTTCCCATGAGTTATTAATTCTTCGTCAACACCACCGACGTCTCGTTGAGAATATTTAGACATTCTCAGCTAAGACAATCTGACATCTTGGAGAAGATAAACTTCTGAGTAAAATCTGCATTCAGGTAGAGGAAGGTTTCCTTGTTTCAGACGCTTAGTGACGTGATACATAAAAGAAAAATGATTCAGTAGCCACTTGGAGTTGCTCAGAAGGTGACCTGTAGTGATTACAGTTTTGTATAGATCTGGAGACGTTTCCTACGTTTGGAAGAAAACAATAACGGAGAAAAGTTCGTGCAATCAATGCAGCTCTTCCAATGGCTTAGTTTCATCTTCAGTTATGGCACCTCCGGTGGAATAGTTCATCCGTTCGTCCATTTGGACTGTTAAACATTTCAAAATCTCTTTCAAGGTTTATTGCATGTGACAGGATTTGACGAAATAACATAACACTAGCCTCGTGTTCCAGGGTATGAGAGTGACCACCTAGCTTCGGCTAGGCCCATACTTTTCTAGGATGTGGCAGTGTGTGTAGGACTCAGAGATAATGATTGTAAATAATTTCGCCTGTTTGCGAATTGTTAAGCATTTCTAAATCTCTATCAAGATTCACTGCATGAGGCAAGATTTGCTGTAATAACATGTCACTAGACTGGTGTTCCAGGGTATGGGAGTCACCGCCGACCTTTGGCTAGGCACCCATAATCTGGGATCTCGCTGAAGGGCTAAAGTACTGCTTACATTGATGACTTGAGAAATAATGTTTATATTAATATATATATATATATATATATATATATATATATATATATATATATATATATATATATATATATATATATAATATATATATATTATCTTTGGAGGAGGTGAATGTATTCAGATATTTGGGAGTGGACGTATCAGCATATGGGTCTATGAAAGATGAGACTCATAGAATTGACGAGGGGAAAAGGTGAATGGTGCACTTAGGAGTTTGTGGAGACAAAGAACTTTATGCATGAAAGCAAAGAGGGGAATGTATGAGAGTATATTTATACCAACACTCTTGCATGGGTGTAAGGCATGGGTGGTGAATATAATGCAGAGAATCCGTAGTATGGAGAGTAGGAGGAAGTGCGGCTTATCAAAACTATTATCCAGATGGCTGAAGAGCGGTTATTGAGATGGTTTGGACATGTAGAGAGGATGGAACGAAATAGAATGACTTCAAGAGTGTATAAATCTGTAGTGGAGGAAAGGCTGGGTAGGGGTCGGCCAAGGAATGGTTGGAGGGAGGGGGTAATGGAGGTTTTTGTGTGCGAGGGGCTTTGGCTTTCAGTAAGCGTGCATGAGCATGTTAGATGGGAATAAATGGAAACAAATGGCTTTTAGGACTTTACGTACTGTTGGAGTGTAAGCCAGGTAACATTTTTGAAGGGATTCAAGGAAACCGGCAGGCCGGACTTGATTCCTGGAAATGGGAAATACAGTGTCTGCGCTCAGAAGGAAGGGTGTTAATGTTGCAGTTTTATAAGTGTAGTGTAAGCACGCCTCTGGCAAAACAGTGATGCAAAACAACCACTGTGATGCATGCAGGGGATGAGATGAAAAGCTGTAAGCCTTCTCCCTGAAAGCTGGCTGCCTTGGATCAAAGTCTAGCGCAAGCTGGACTCCACAGTACTGGTCCAGTGTGGTGAGTTTGGTATAGCACTGCGTACCTTGTTCCAAAGTTCGTAGGTTCGAGTCTCCTTCAGCCAGAGATCAGTGTTTGTGTATATTTCGCCCGCTCTCGCGAATTCCTTGCACACACATATATATATATATATATATATATATATATATATATAACGAGCCATTATTTTCTTTTTAACGACAGTATTATAATAGTGGCGTTAGAAAAAAATATTCAGGAATTGCCTAGTTATTATAGAAAAGATCATGCAGGCATATTGACGGTAAAAGTATTTCCTGAATATCCTAGAAAGTTCTGGGACATAGGGTATTACCTGTTGACAAAATGAGGGAATTTATTCCTTTTGTTTCATTAGTTAGAAGATTGTACACAATATCTACATTCTGTATGTGGATAATCCACTACTGTAACGTAACTTATGTCACATGACCTGTTCCCAATGGTTAGAAGCTTAGGGCTAGCTAATAACTATCTCCTAATTACTCTGTCTTATGTTATCTGCAAACTATGGGGCCTATCCCACCCGACCCCATATGGGGTGGAGTGCGGAGAAAATTCTCCCTTAAAGAGCGTATCTGTCAAGCCTTCTCAGCCCCTTCAGCCCTCTGAGCGGCTTAGCCCTTTCAAAAAGGACTAGTGGACTCTTCCTTCCTCCTACAACAGTTTTATTATAAACAATTTTATGTACCATAGCATCTCGAGGCACATCCTCTCCTTGCTAAAATTTCTGATCAACTATACAATGAAGTTAAATGAGAGTAATTACTCTTTTTCCCCGTAGTAGAAAAATTAAGAGAAAACCTGTGCCCCACTTGGTCTACAAGTTAGGGACATTACAACTTCTAGCCTACAGCTAAATAACAAGAACCCTACCCTCTTGTGTTGAACACTGTTGCACAGACTAGTAACGAATGTATATAAAGGCGAAATCAGCAATTTCCTTTGTTCAGAGGATGGACAATGCGAGTGATTGCAAAGAACATTTCCGAAATGTAGTGATAAACACTAGTGCAACATTCACCGTGTGACACCTCTACATTCAAAGCAACACAACATTCCCAGCTCTATGGTGCTGTCCACATCATAAGCTCACATTACACGAGCTAACTGGTCTTAATCTCAGTTGTATCACGAAAAATGAACTGCAGTCCATAGGTAGACACAAAGTGATTAGGGCTGACCTATTCTAGGCTGAAGCGCGAATACCATCAACAAAACTTAGGCGAGTTGCTTACCACGCTCCAGTAAATTTTTATACTGGAAAATATATGTGTTAGATATATGTGTATTCTTAACCTTAATTATACTCGCCATTCTACAGCTCAGAGATGAGGCTACCAAGACTCACGCGAAGTAAGACTTCTTAATCGCAGCTGCAAGAAGTCTGAGTCATCACTGAAGCTATGTATCTTTTAGTTTATCTTAATTATGTCGGAGAGTAGATTTGGCTGTAAATTCCCCCACATGGGGTGTGGGGGAACCGGTGGTAGTTGGCATTAGGTCGGGTCTCCCCTCCTTAATTCAGAAAGAGATCCTTACGGGTGTTACCCATGGTACCATACTCTGAAAAAAACTTACTCTCATTTTCTACTGTTGCTACCCTTGCAACATTGAACAGTTCCGCATAATGCACTGATAAGTGTGAGAGGATCTGAGCTTAAGATTTCTATGTCCCGTGGCTTGTCTTGTATATATGTATTTATATATATATATATTATATATATATTCCCATTTGGTGTACTAGCCTCCACAAGCAGCATATATCGTACTGTAACCACGAACGAGTGGTATTTAATCAATAATACTGCATATAGCCGAGGACTCGAACGCATGTTGTTTTGGCCCACCTCATGGTGAGCGAAAAATCACACGACGCTTTAACCCACTAGGACCACCCAATCCTACAAAGATCACGCACCCAGCAGAGCTAAGTGTTGTACCATGATCAGAGGACATAAGATGGTGTGGGTGCCTCAAAGCTAATTTCATTCTACTCCTCGTTTGGTATATTAGCCTCCACACGCAGTATATATAGTATTGTAACCATGAACGAGACCTATTTAATCAATAACAACACTGCGAGTAGCTATGGGCTGGAACCCATGTTGTATTGGCGCATCTCACAGTGAGCGAAAATCACAATATGCTCTAACCCACAGGACCACCCAATCTTACAAAGATCACACACCCAGCAGAGCTAGGTATTGTACCGTAATGCGAGGACCTACGATGGTGTTGTGTCTCTGAGCTAATTTCATTCTACTCCCTGTTTGGTGTATTAGCCTCCACAAACGGTATATATTGTACTGTAACCACAAACGAGTGGTATGTTGTCAATAACAACACTGACTAGCTAAGGGCTTGAACCATGTTGTTTTGGCCCACCTCATGGTGAGTAAAAATCGCACGATGCTGTAACCCACAGGACACCATATCCTACAAAGATCACGCACCCAGAAGAGCTAGGTGTTTTACAGTGATACAAGGACATACGATGGTGTGGGTGCCTCAGAGCTAATTTCATTCTACTTCCCGTTTACTCTGAGACACCCACACCATCGTATGTCCTCAGATCAAGGTACAACACATAGCTCTTCTGGGTGCATGTTCTTTGTAAGATTGGGTGGTCCTGTGAGTTAGAGCATTATGTGATTTTCGTTCACCATAAGGCGGGCCAAAACATCATGGGTTAGAGTCCTTGGATAGTCGCAGTGTTGTCATTGATCAATACCACTCGTTCATGTTTACAATAATATAAAATACTGTTTGGTGGGCTAGTACACCAAACAGGGAGTAGAATGAAATTAACTCAGAGGCACCCACACCACCGAATGTCCTCGGACCAGGGGTAACACACCTAGCTTACCTGGGTGCTTGGTTCTTGCAGGATTTGGTGGTCCTGTGGGTTAGAGCATCATGTGATTTTCGTTCACCATAAGGCAGGCCAAAACATCATGGGTTCGAGACCTCGGCTACTCCCAGTGTTGTACTAATTAAATACCACTCGTTCGTGGTTACAATACTGCATATACTGCACGTAGAGGCTAGTACACCAAACGGAGAGTAGAATGAAATTAGCTCTGAGGCACGTACACCATCGTATGTTCTTGGATCATGGACATACTTCTCACATTATCAAGGAACTAAATACATATACATAATAATGTAATATATATATATATATATATATATATATATATTATAATATATATATATATATATATATTATTAATATATATATTATATATATATATATTTCGTGTCCGAATATGAAAACCTGGTCAATTAGCAAAACTCATTAAAATTTAAATCTTTTCTAAAATTTCTCTTACGTTTAAAGATATATTTTTTCATTAATGTTGATGTAAAAATTTATAATTTTGCACCAAAAGAAACTTAGAAACTCAACCTATTATAAACAAGCGCAATTTATATCAGCCTACCCAACTAATATATTTTAGATTTGTTTACAATAATTGAAACTAAACAAACACAGTGAAATATATTTTTTTTCGTTAGTTCAGAATGATTTTGACGAAATTATTGCATACACAAATTTTCACTTGTCTTATATGGCAAGATTAGCGTTGCTATTTAAGCCAAGATCGCAAGTTCTGCCTATATATATATATATATATATAATATATATATTATTTTATAATATATAATATATAGTATATCATATATATATAATATATATATATAATGATTTGTAATAGCCTAAACGAAATTAGCGTGGCCAAATAAAAATATCGGTCCATATTCCGCTATGATATCAGTAACTCACATACAGTATGTAAGTGATTAAATCACGGCAATTATGGGGTGCCAAGCATGGAAAGCATGTCCATTTAATGGGTCGAGAAAACGGTAACATTAAAGGGGAGACTTCTAAAAGTTATGTAATGAAAATGGGCTCTTAAAATAAGCTCATTTCAAGAGGAGGCATCTGTATATACAAGGAAGAAAGGCACAGTTTATTCAACCCACAAATTCTAAGGCAAATCTCGTCTTCCCTTCAGTAACTGAAAAAATAGACCCTAATTCCTCGGTGTAGCACTAATTTAAAACAGTAAGTTCGCATAGGCCCATTTTTAGACTGTGTACACTTGCCTCAACTAAAAATGCATCTAATTGAAACCCATCATTGATACCGTACAATGAATCCTCTCAATGTTAATAATTGCCGATTCTATTAAATTCACTGTGAGAAAGAGGGGGACTGTAACCTTCATTCTTAGATGTTTTGATACAGATGTGTTAATATACTATTCCAACCATGAACAAAAGTTGTAGGTATATTTCTTATTATGTTTCTGGAAGCCCCGAGGAGTGTGCGGTTTCCGGATTCCTGAATAAGAAATTTAAATATTCGACATTGGCAATGAAATTGCTGATACCTAAGTAAGGTTTTGTGAATCTGCTTTCTGTAGCAAATAAAACTTTTAGATAACAGAACCTAGGATAACACTCAGACCAAGAATTTCTGGTCTCCCCATACAAAATTTATCTGTCCTGCAGAATGCTCTTACAAATTTTAAATACAATATATTTAAAATTTAAGACTGTTTCACTCTGGAAAAAGATTCATCCAACAACGTCTTCCGGTTATGTCTCAGAGTTGGTTGCAAACAGGTTCAGTCACCTATTGGGTAGACGTGACAAACCAAAGAATGAGAAATTCCCAACACCGTTATTCGATATGTATACACAGGAGTCCGAACGCGTTTTTAACCATATTAGAGCTTGTATAACCGGAAAATTGCGGAAGCAGAGTTATTTTCCCCAGTTCCTCCTGGCTTGAAAGATTATTGTAAATCAGCACATTAAAAGCATGAAACCTTTATTATACAATATCAGATGATTTACTGATCAAATTAGATGTTTTTTAGTCGAGGCAATAATACACAGTCTAAAATTGGGCTACACACAAATAACCCGCACATAAAAGAGAAGCTTCGACGACGTTTCGGTCTTTCTAATCTCAACATTCTCTCCGTCCTTAGCATCATCAAGCTTACCTTCCGCCAGACTAACACTCTTCGCATATTCGTTCATACCTCTCCTCCCTCTACAGAATGTTCCTGTGTCTCCCACTCTATTTCCCTTTCTCTCCTGTCCTCTTCAATACTTCGTAGAAACTGTCGATGTCTTCTGACAGACTTGGGAGCACAAAAATAGTTGGGTTTGGCTTGCCCACCTAACAATGCCTCTTTCTGTCACGTCAGAGATCATAGCCATCCTATTTGACCTGGTCTTCTGAAAACTCTTCCATACTTTCCAACTCGAACAGTCGCCGTCTAGTTGAATCCTCTCTAATACACAACTTTCCTTTGTATGAACCTTAGCCCTGGCTTCGTCTCTGTAGATGTCTTCCTCTCCCACTACATTGTAAAATGCTCCAAACTTCAGAACACCCGTGACTTAACCTGACTCCATTTTTTTTTCTTTCTTTTTCTTCTTCCCTCTTCCCCTTTCCTATTTCCTTTTCTCCTCTGGGTTGTCTTTCTCTCTTCTGTCTCGTGTTTCTGTTCCTTCTTCATTTATTTCACCACTTCCCCTTTCACGCACCTCTGTGCGCTTGCTTTCCCTCAGTGGGCACCTAGCTCTCTTGCAGTGCTCCCCTTCCTTTGTATTTGACTGGCTCGTCCTCCTTATTTCCCACTTCTACCACTACTACTACCTCTTCTACTACTACTACAATTACTGATGAAATTAAGACATGTGCGGCGTCTGGTTGTCTTTGTTGTGGACGTTTCGCCATCCAATGGCTGGCTGGATGGCGAAACGTCTACGATAGGGATGCCCGGGTGTTGCGCATATGTCTTAATTTCATCTTGTCGGTATTATATACCATTCTTGTACTACTACTACTCTACTACCACCACCTCTTCCTGCCTATATATAGCCGTCCTGCTCCACTTCTGGTTAGTGTGACTTTGTCAATGGTTCAAGTCGACCGAAACGTCGTCGTAAGCTTCTCTCTTTTATGTGCGGGTTATTTGTGTATCGTTCCAGTCACGGTATTGTGCCTTTTTGTTATTTAAAATTGGGCTCTTATACGAATGCATTAGACTCTCTTAAATGTTTTGCCACACCGAGGAATTATGGCTTATTTTTCCTGCAATTTCTGAAGGTTGAACCAGAGTTTGCCTCAGAATTATGTGGGCCATCTTCCTTGTTATTACAGATGCCCCATCATTAAATGAGTTTATTTTAATGAGCCCCATTTCTTTTACATAACTTTCTCTCTCTCTCTCTCTAATTATATATATATATAATATATATATATATATATATATATATATATAAATATGCGCAAAACAATCGCAGACAGGCGATGCAAGACAAGCCATGGGGGGGGGGTGAAAATCTTTAGCTCAAGTACTTTCATACTTCTCAGTGCATCATCAGGAGCTGTGCAATGTTGCCAAGGCAATAACAGAAGTAGGGTAAGTTTTCAGAGAGTGGTAGTGTGGAGCCAGCCAGCCAGTCTCTGAGAGAGCCAAGCGGGATGCCACCACACACCGGTCCCCTTCCCCCCTTCCCACACTCCAAATGATGAGTGTTGTTGTGGTTGTGGGTGTAGTGAAAGTGATTATATTGTTGCGTGTTGTGATGGTGGTTAGTGTGGCTTTCATGAGTACTGTGATGATGGTTGTGATGCTGTTGATTAAACCATACCACGGGCGGGGATAGAACCCGCGATCAGATAGTCAAAACTCCAGACCGTCGCGTTAGCCACTGGACCAGCTAGCCACAATAAGATTCTTCCAACTAGGTATATATCTACACCATAGGAGTGTATACTGTTGATTACACTGGTGGGTCTGTCATGGTGTGGTGCTGATTTTCATGGAGATACGTTTGGTCATGGTGGTGGTTATTATTGTGATATAAGTGATGTAAACCAGCTGGTTCATAGTATCTCACCCAAAAGTATTCCTTCTTGAAGCCAGGAATCTTGTGGTGGGAGGCTCCGATCTGGTGGAGGATGTCGAAGAAATAGTCCACGTTATCCATGGATTTGATACCTTCGTCGATGGAATTCATGACTGTTTTTGCGTGCTCTGCCAGCTCCAGTGACTCAGCCTGTTCATCTCTCGTCCTCAGCTGCTTGAACTTGGTGAATAAGTTGATCAATTCTGCGTTGTTCTCAAATAACCTGCGGAGGGAGGAACAGTTAGCTACTGAATATTATTATTATAATCAAAAAGAAGCGCTAAGCCACAAGGGCTATACAGCGCTGCAGCTACTGAATAGTTTTAGTAATTCTTTCGTTGGTATAATAAAGTGCACGCGCACTAGTAATAAATTTCACGGTCACTATTAACATAGTAAACGTGCATTATTAACAAAGTACACTTGAACTAGTAAAAAGAAAAAATATAGATCATTCCAACTCATTAGTTTGGTGTGGGGATCACACTGTCAGCTGTTTTGACAGTGTAACCAAGAAATTTTAAGCGAGAAAGAATATGTAGCAATACTGGACAATTGTGAATCCTGACTAATAAAACAAGGAAGACTAGAGCTTAAACAGTGAATTGATCAGCTAAATTTGTAAGTAAAAACGAGACTTGAGATGGTGATGTGCTGAAAACGGATGATGACAGGTGTTAATTATTTTTTTTTTTTTTTTGGGGGGGGGGGGAATGGTAGGTAATCAGGTTTCATCCAAGGATGGGGAGGGTGAGCGTGTGTTATTTATGAGGGAAAAGGGAAGAGGTATTAGAACCAGCAATTATGGAATGGTTTTTGTAAAATATTAAAACAAAAATGTTAAGTAAATGGCAGCCAGAGGTCACCCAGTGTCAGAAAAAAGTTGACGTCCACACTTGTGCTTGAGTTATTATTTTGTAGGAAGGCTCCTTGAAACTCATAAAGGGCTCTAGATCCAAGGACACTCAACTAAAATAGTGTGCATATTAATTGGGACACCAGTAAATTTTGTGATTATCTCATAGTATGTCTTAGTCTCCAGCTTAATGTAGTTTCGGTTCTTTTCTTTCCAGAAGAGTTTGCTACCGACTTCGGGCAACCGTCCAGCTGTGGTGTTACCCTGCACCTCTCCCCAGTGTTACAACAGCTGTTGTTCTGTAAGGCTACTCCTGGAAACATGCTCTGTAAGTGAATGTGGTTTTTGCCAAATTCTCCCCTTCAGTTTATGATTACTGCTGAAATTTATAATGGATGTTACACCTAGGAAGCATGCAAGTATTTTAGCTCTTAGAAATCATGCTTTGAGTTTCAGACAGATCGCCGAAAATTTGAGCCTAGCAAAGTCAACTGTTGGTCTGACTCTGAAGAGAGCTGATGTTACTGGTAATTGTGGAGCGGTAAGTCGAGGAAAGTATGAAAGAAAATGCAAGACAATGCCTCATGATGACATGGTTATCGTAAAAAATGGCATGAAGGATCCCAAGAAAACTAGCAAAGATTTGGCTTCAACTGGCATAAATGTCGATTCTTCTTGAAGCGGGCAGAACTGCCAGAAAACTGGTAAAGAAACAATTACTGACTACTGCTGTGAAGAAAAAAACGGCTGCTTGGGCACTCGATCACAAGGGATGGACAACATGGGTACAGATTATTGGTAGTGAGACGGAGAAACAGCGACCTGTAGACATAATAGATCAGAAGGCTATTAAAGGCTTTTCCCAGTTTGACCGAATTAAGCTTAATTACATAATTTACAGGGAATCTTGTAGATATAACAATCAGCATTTTGGGGGGAATTTTTAATAAAAAATTTTTTTTTTTACTGTATGAAGATTTTTCTTACAACTTTGATTATAAAATTCTTAAATAGAGAAGGTATATCAAGAATGCTTTCATGGTAAGTGAGAACCAACATATTCTTGGTTGTCCTTCTCTGAATTGTAAAATGTATTTCTAGCAATTTTAATGTATTTACTAGTTAATTATTTTGGGTATTTTAGATCATTAGCTATGCCATAAATCTTAAAGATTTCTTCATCTATGAACTCTGGGCTGCAAGTACGTAAAGTTCTCAAACACATGGATGAGAATTCAAAAAATTTAACTCTCATGATGTGAAGTGCACATGAGAACAGTTATTTGTTGGTTTCTGTATATTTTGAATTTATAATCATGGGTTCCTTATCAATTAAGACATCTAAGAAAGGCAATGAGCAATTTTGTTCAAATTCAACAGGAAAAATTATGGAATGAGACAGACTGTTTAGTTTAACAAGGTTTATAAATATTTATATTTTTAGGCATTAGACACAGATCAACATATCTTGACTAATTAGCACTATTAGGAAGGATTTTATTAAGAAGTCTTGTTTCAAAACATTCCTGTAGAAATTGCTAAGAATAATTGAGAGAGAATTATCTGATTGCGATACTAAACTTCTGAGTGTAAAACTTTCCAATAAACACAAATTTTCCATCGACAATACTTAGTTTAATAAGCTCAGTGATTGTATATACTGGCAATGGTAAATCTTATTTACCGAGTTTTTCATATAGGAAGCTTAATAAATCAAACCTGAAGTTTTGTAAACAAAGAATTGGCATCAAAACTCACCATACCATAGTCATTCAAATCAGTCATGGTGCTTAATTTATCAAGTAAATCAATATTATTTTTAACGTTAATGTCAGAAATTTTACCAACAATTGGGCACGTAGATTTATTGATCCAAATTTCAGCTTGCTACAGTAAAACTACAATTCTTTTATTTGGCAAGTATGAAATCACTTCATCAGAGGGGGTTCACTAATAGAATTCACTTTCAGTTCGAGCAGCGAACCCAGTGTCTGGTACCTGGATGATGGCACTCTGGCACGTACGGAAGAGTCCCTGCTAGAGGACCTACAACTGCTGAAGTCACATGGAGACGCTTTAGGACTCATTCTCAATCCCTCGAAATCATCTTAAACCAGGAAATAATTACAGCTGTGAAAATAATCCTTTTTGAAGCCTCAACTGTTACCCCATCCAAGAGCATCAGACCACCAACACCGTCCTCAAGAACAAACTGATTGACCTGATGAGGATGGAGAAAAGAATAAGTGATCTGGAAACCCGTAACTCCCTATACTTCCTCACAATGTGTTTAACTGCTAAGACTAACCTATTTGTTGAGGTGTGCACGCTCCTTCCACAACCCAAGTCTCAGTGAAAATGTCGCCCTCCTGAGATCTACCTTTAGGAGAGCACTGAATCTGTCACTGGAAGGTCAAGCAACTCTTCCAGTTTGGCTACGAGGTATAGAGGTGTTCAAGGCACCGCAGGAAGCAATACCTGCATTTCTGTCAGTGTGTGGCTTCCAATAAACCAGTTAAGGACACTTGAGAGGCAGGGGTGGTTTTACTGAAGCTTAAGCTGCAGAGGCCCATAATCTCAGAAGCCAAAAGCAACTTAAGTCCCCATTGCTTAAAAATTTTGGGTCTACCCCATAATAGTTCAAGCTTGAGAGACCCAGAAATGTAGGTCCACCACTGTTGTGAGGTGCTGTAGGAATCACGACCCAAAGTTCATCGAAGCAGACTCTTCAAACAGACCAACTACTGCCAGAGAGCAAAAACAGTCCCACTGGGACTAACTGATCATGAAAAAAAATCGCCCACACAGTACTCAACAATGCCTCAAGAAAGGACAAAGCTCATCTATAACAGCGGTGAAGGCACCAAAACCAAGAGATTTTCTTTCTTGGGCACACGACATGGTCATTCAGATTTGTGTACCTCTATGCCTAGCCGCCCCCATACTCACTGAACCCAGGTACACACATGCAGCAAGGCGTCAGCTGATCAATTTGGACTACATGGTCTGGTCTGTCATACGTCAGAAGGGAAGTACGCCAGATATGAGGAGGTCAATGACATCAACAAAGTCTCGTCACCGCCCATTGCCCAGTAGAATGGGAACGTAAGGTACCGAGACAAGTGATATTTAATCAATAATAACACTGCGACTAGTCGGACGATCGAACCAGTGTTGTTTTAGTTCACATCATGGTGAGTGGAAATTAACGACACTAGCCCACTGGACCTTACAAACAACTTGAGCCTAGTAAACTAGGCTTGCTTCAAGTTGTGAGGACATATGATGGTGTGGGTGCTTAAGAGCTAATTTCACTCTAATCCCCTTTTGATGTACTAGCCTCCACAAGCAATATACATATTACTGTAACCACAAGTGGGAATTATAGGTTGTAGCTGCTGAGACAAAGATACAGAGCCTGGCAGAGAAAAAGGATCATCAGTAGATAGTGAGGGAACTGTGGGACAGGAAGGAGCTAAGAAATCCCTTGCAGAAGTGATATCAGGCTACTGAGGTGTCTGGGAGATAAGGGTAACAACAAAGAAGATGTTTAAATTTGATCTAGAGATATGCAGGGAAAAGAAATGGGAAGAGAAGGAAAAGTCAATAATTTATGTGCTGAGGCTATGCTGAAAGAAGACAGTGGGACAGTGGGAGAAAAAAGAGATTGGAGAGCATTATCGCAATAACAGGAGAGAAGGACATGTCACAGCTGACAAATTTTCAGTCTTGGGGGATATTTGAGGGAAAATTTTGCCCAGCCAAACTGACATTCAAGACACAAGTGGTACAGAACAGGACCCTGCAATAAAACTTATCAGCGAGAGTACCTTGACTGTAACAACACATGAAAAGAATGAGAACAACTGACGGTGAAGTAAGAAGATGCCCAAGGAAGGAAAGACACAGGGCAAACATTGACAGACTGGAAATCTCAGCCTCAGGGAGGAACACCAAACACAAATACTCATAGAACCTCAACCCCTACCCCCCACACCAATCAAACACAATATCCGGAAACAAGCTATACTCACAGCCTTCCCCCAGCACTAATACTACTATCAGAGCCTTCTGCAATATCCCACCCCGCCTTAAACATCCCCAGTCTGCACCAAACCCTCCCACTCCCCAGAATACAGTACCAGAAAGGAAGCTGAATGTATGGTACACCAAATAAGAGTGACGAATGGCAAGAACAAATCATCGAGACATCCCAGGACATCATAACACTCATGGAGACAAAGTTCATCGGGATGACAACAGATGAGATCTTCCTGACTGCATATGCGAAGGAGTATGGGTCCCTTCAGACCTCTGAAGAGCATTTGAAGGAACCTCTTCCTCCTTATGAAAAGACAACAGAAAAAATAAATTATAACAAAATAAGATAAATAATTTTTATTAAATATAAGCAAATCTCTCATAAAATATAAAACAATTAAATATGAACTCCTAACTGAAGTAAATGATGGAAAAGTTAAATAAACATATCAAATGAAGCAAGAACGAGAAACCAGTTACAGCACTCTGTGGTCACAGGTGGTTGTGAGTATTGTGAAGTCCACCTCCAGAACGTAACAGTGCCTCTAACGATACACAGCTAGCAGCGAAATTAATGGAGTTTGGCTGCCGGCTGCGATAGATGACTGGAGGTCGACAACAGATGTATAGGGAAAACGCACAAACGAGATTGTTGAACTCGTACCTCAGCCCAGGTGGTATTAAAAAAGCAGAGTTCTCAAAATGCAGACTCTGACACGATCGTTGACCTGCATTAGTATCGTAAGTATAATCAAGTCAGGTTAAACAAATTAAAATCCCCAATGATTTAACTAACCAAGATGGGAACTCCATACTTACAGACATGATGAGAACAGAATGCCAAGTGACGTTCCTCCATCAGCAAGGGTCCCTTGTTAACTCCCACTGGATGGAGAAAAGGGCTCACACACCCCTTTCATAACAGGCACACTACCTCCACCGCTCGTTCAGTCTTCACTCGTATTTAATGAACTTTTCCCTTATAGGACATCAAATCATAAGACAGAGGGAACAGACAGACAGACAGACAGACAGACACACACACACACACACACACACACACACACACACACACACACACACACACACACACACACACACACACACACTTACACACTTACACACTTACACACACACACACACACACACACACACACACACACCACACACACACACACACACACACACACACCACACACCACACCAACACACACACATCCACCACACACACACACACACACACACACACACACACACACACACACACCACAGAGACATACAAATAAGAGGAAAGAAAGTTTGGGCAAGACGGGTGTTAGTGGAGCACAGCCAACATAGTTTTAAGAGCAGAGGGATCCGTATAAGCTTCACGGCAGGTCAGAAGTGGACATAGTAGCGAGCAGTGGAGGCAGGATCCATACAGGAGCTTAAGTGAGCAGGTATCGTAAAGCTCACGGCAGGGAGAGTGACATATAGCGACAGTGAAGAGCTGGCCAGGAGCTGATCGACCCCTGCAACTTCAACTAGGTGAGTACAACTAGGTGAGCACACACACACACATACACAGAGAGAGAGAGAGAGGATCCAGTAGCGATCAGTGAAGAGGCGGGGCCAGGAGCTGAGTCTCGACCCCTGCAACCACAATTAGGTGAGTACAATTAGGTGAGTACAGACACACACACACACACACACACACACACACACACACTCGTGGAGGAGTCACGCGGTTTGAGCTCGTGTTTTGGTGGTAATTTCTGACTGTGCCGTAAGGAATAGAGTGTGGGATATAGGTGTGTGCACGCATAAGAGTGCATATAATCACTTAAGCCCCGAAAAAAGGAAATATAAGTGATCATAGAAAAGAAAACGAAGGAAATTAGTGGCTGAGTGTTATTGGGGGCCGTTGGAAGGGTGAACGGTTGTGTCAGGCCTAAATAGTGTTGCCATAATAACGCAGTGGGGTATTTGAAGAATAAGTGTGACTCAAGACCAGGGAGATAAGAGATATGTATAGATGTGTCAGTAAATACAGTGAGTGAGCGAAAAAATTAGAAGAGCTAGAGACTATAGTGCATACAGGAAGTTAGTGGAAAAATTACCGAGAAGCATCAAACTTCTTCAACTTCTGGGAGACAGGACAGACCAGCAACGTTACTCCACTGCCAGCCGCAAGTTAATATTCACCTAGTTTGAGTTGCATGGGGTCAATAGTACCTGTCTCTAGCTGGAATTGGGGGTCACTCTCCTCGAGCTATCAGAATTAGAATAAGCAACATTTACTGGTATATAATAGAATTTAAAGGTAGCGGCATGTAGGCGAAGCCTAGTGTATTTATTTTTGAACGTAATTTTAAACGCATAAGAGTTACAGTGGGAACCAAGAGATCGGATACATATACAATACATATGTAGTACATACGTGGGAAAAAGGACTATTTACATAAACATATCCACACACACACTTGGTGAGAACAAACTCTGCTGTTAAGCAATTAAATAGCTGTTAGCACACACACACACACACACACACACACACACACACACACACACAAACACAAAAACACCACATATATACAGGATTTCACACTTTCCTGTGAAGTGACACTATAACCTCTCCTTTCCCCCCCATCTCTCTCCCCTCTCTCTCTCTCTCTCTCTCTCTCTCTCTCTCTCTCTCTCGCTCTCTCTCTCTCTCTCTCTCTCTCTCTCTCTCTCTCTCTCTCTCTCTTCTCTCTCTGTCTCTCTCTTCTCTCTCTCTCTGTCTCTCTCTCTCTCTATCTCTCCCTTTCTCTCATCCTCTCTCTCTTCCTCTCTCTCTCCTCTCACTTTCTCTCTTCCTCTCTCTCTCTCCCTCTCCCTCTCTCTCTTCCTCTTCTTTTCTCTCTCTCTCTCCTCCCTTGTTACTCCCCTCCTCTCTCTTACCTTTTCCCTCTCTCTCACTTTCTCCCCCTTTTTACCCTTCTTTTCCCCTCCTTCTAGGCTCCCGTTCTCTTTCTCCCTCTCTCTCACTCTCTCCCCCTTTTTATTTTTTTTTCTTTCTCTCTCTTTCACTAAAAAAAAAAAAAAGAAATGGTTGGGAATCGCAGGAATCAGAGATCAGATGTCAATGGTACTGGTAGGGAGGAACGGATGGAGGAACAGTGGAAAAGGATAGAGCAAGAATGGGAGAGAAAATTAGGAGAGATTTCTGAAAAAATGGAGAAAGAGCTCTCTGTGAAATGGGAAAAGAGGTTGGAGAAGGAGACGAAGAATTGGGAGGCACAAGTCGAAACTGCAGTAGCCAGGGTAAAGGTTCTAGAATTTGAGGTAAACAGGCTGAAGCAAGTCTCAGGGGTAGTAACCAGAGAAGACATACCATACGAAGCTGAGAGGCTGAACAGGAAGGAAGGAGATTTGAATTATGCTAAGGTCATATCAGCCTGCAAAGAAGGGCCAGGGAGTGAAAGGGAAGAGAAGATGGGTGCAGATGGAGAGGGAGATAGGTTGAATGCTGAGGCACAACCATGCTACCAAGAGCCAATGGAAAAATCAAGGGAGAAAATGACCACATACAGACAGGAACCAGAGTCACAGAGGGAGAGGCAATGGGAGGAGGAAAGGGCAAAATCAGTGATTATCCATGGGCTTCGGGAGAGAGAGGAAAGGACACACACTGAAAGGCAGCAGGAAGAAAGAAAGGAGATTGAGAAAATCATCATGGAAATAGGGGGAGAAGACATGGATGAGATTGTAAATTTTCAGAGAATAGGGGGGTACTTGAAGGGGAGAAACTGACCGATCAAGCTGATTCTCAGGACAGAAGCAGTGCGGAACAGGATCCTCCAAGAGAAACCACGGTTGAAAAGCTCGGAAGAGTACAAGAAGGTGTTCCTAGACAGAGACAGAACACGAACAGAGAGACAGCAGCTGAGGGAGAGGACAAAAAAGCGAAAGGAGCTAGGAAAGGAGACAAGGATGGAACCAGCAGAGGTCAGTCAGAGCAGAACAGAGCAGCAAGGGCAAGCACGCACACAACTATCCTCAGAACCCCACAACCTATCACACCATCCCAACACACAATCAATCCATACCACAGCTTCCACCCAACCCCCAACCATAGAATCCCACAATATGCTACCAGGTCTGCCACCCCCGCAGGCCCCCCAAACCACAGTGTTGGAAAGGAAACTGAAGGTATGGTACACAAACGCTGATGGAATAACAAACAAGTGGGAGGAGTGGCACGAAAGAGTCAAAGAGGCATCACCAGACATCATAGCGATCACAGAAACCAAGCTTACAGGTATGATAACAGATGCCATCTTTCCAGCGGGATACCAGATCCTGAGAAAAGACAGAAGGAACAGGGTGGGTGGAGGAGTGGCATTGCTGATCAAACACCGATGGAATTTTGATGAAATGGAGAGAGGAGACAGCGGAGAAGAAAGTGATTACATAGCGGGAACGCTTCACTCTGGTGGTCCCAAGGTGATAATTGCAGTGATGTATAACCCACCACAGAACAGCAGGAGGCCAAGGCAAGAGTATGACGAGAGCAATAGAGCGATGGTTGACACACTGGCTGCAGTGGCCAGAAGAGCTCATGCATGCAGGGCAAAGCTACTGATCATGGGTGACTTTAACCACAAGGAGATCGACTGGGAGAACTTGGAGCCACATGGGGGCCAAGATACATGGAGGGCTAAGATGATGGTGGTGGTATTGGAAAACTTCATGTACCAACACGTAAGGGACACTACAAGAGAGAGAGGAGAGGATGAACCAGCAAGACTGGACTTAGTATTCACCTTGAGTAGTGCAGATATTGAGGACATCACATATGAAAGACCCCTTGGGGCCAGCGATCATGTGGTTTTGAGCTTCGAATACACAGTAGAGCTACAAGTGGAGGGGGAAGCAGGAAGGCCAGGACAAATGAAACCAAACTACAAAAAAGGGGACTACACAGGAATGAGGAACTTCCTGAATAAGGTTCAGTGGGACAGAGAACTGGCAGGGAAGCCAGTTAATGAGATGATGGAATATGTAGCAACAATGTGCAAGGAGGCTGAGGAGAGGTTTATACCCAAGGGTAACAGGAATAATGAAAAAGCCAGGATGAGCCCAAAGATGCAAGGAGGCAAAAACCAAGTATACTAGGGAATGGAAGAAATATAGAAGGCAAAGGACCCAGGAGAATAAGGAGAGCAGTCGTAGAGCCAGAAACGAATATGCACAGATAAGAAGGGAGGCCCAGTGTCAATATGAAAAACGACATAGCAGCAAAAGCCAAATCTGACCCAAAGCTGTTATACAGCCACATCAGGAAGAAAACAACCGTCAAGGGCCAGGTAATCAGGCTAAGGAAGGAAGGAGGAGAGACAACAAGAAATGACCGTGAAGTATGTGAGGAACTCAACAAGAGATTCAAAGAAGTGTTCACAGAGGAGACAGAAGGGGCTCCAGAAAGACGGAGAGGTGGGGTACACCACCATGTGCTGGACACAGTACACACAACCGAGGAAGAAGTGAAGAGGCTTCTGAGTGAGCTAGATACCTCAAAGGCAATGGGGCCAGATAACATCTCTCCATGGATCCTGAGAGAGGGAGCAGAGGCACTATGTGTACCCCTAACAACAATATTCAATACATCTATCGAAACAGGGAGATTGCCTGAGGCATGGAAGACAGCAAATGTGGTCCCAATCTTTAAAAAAGGAGACACATGAAGCACTAAACTACAGACCAGTGTCACTGACATGTATAGCATGCAAAATCATGGAAAAGATTGTCAGGAGAAGAATGGTGGAGCATCTAGAAAGGAATGATCTCATCACCAGCAGACAACATGGTTTCAGAGACGGGAAATCCTGTGTCACAAACCTACTGGAG